CACCACCATCATCATCACCACCACCACCACCACCATCACCACCACCACCACCACCAACAACAACAACAACAACAACAATGTTAGTGCGACACGCCGGCTAATCCCACCTGTTTTTTTTGTCCGTCGGTCTCGGCGGTTACCGGAGACCGGCAGTGTTGTGGGGCCAGGGATAAGAGCTGGATGCCAGACGTCAGACGGAGTGTAAATACCACCCTGCATATTTAGGCATCCGAAGTATACTTAGAGGGACTACCTCTTCCTCCTAGGAACCAGTACGCCCCTCGAATTAATGTATGTGCGACTGCGGTGTGAGGGTGAGAGGCCTCTCTCCGAGGAGGTCATCGCTTAGTATTTTGGCGGTGAATCCACCGACTAGTAATTCCACATTTGGTTGCGAGGGCTGAATGAGACAGATTTTCCTCCAGTTGTGAGCACCCTAGGTCCCTGTGCTGGCATTTCCAACGGTCAGTTACGTTCAAGGGACCCGTTCGGTTGACAGCTTCCAGTCAACTTGCAATGCCTCATGAACGACAAAGTTTCCACTATACAGTGTGTTCAAGACACTTTCTGCTTTTCATCTTGCTGCGATTTTGCGGTGTTTAATTCCAGTGAGGAAGTAGTTACTACCCACTGCACTTGATATATCCTCCATCCCCATCCTACAAACGAAACCATACGTGCTCAACGCCCTCTCCTTCGCTCACGCGAATCCTCTGGATCGTAAAGCTGCTGTACATAAAAAGCCAGAAAATTCGCATCTGCCATCTACTAGCTCAAGTCGACATCAGACCCCATCCACCCATCCACACGAATGACGAAAAAATGGAATAAATTTCCCTTGCATACTCAAAACCCTCTCATTCGCCGACACAAATCCTCTGGACTGTAACTTCATAAATAAGAAGTAGAAGCGATGGCTGGATCAGGAGCTTTATTCACCTGACGTTTCGGATTCTCGCTCCAACCCATCATCAGAGACAGTGGCGGTAAATAGGCAGAAAAATTACCGTGATCGACTAATCCTTAGTAGGCACATCGTCAGACCGTGCTAGTCGATCGATGCTGCTGCCGCCGCCGCCGTCAGGTTCCATCACTGGGTTCGTCTTTCCAGTTCTAAGCCTCCCTTATTTCTCGTTATCCAATCATCCCTCTAACCAACAATGAACATACGTTTTTCCGTCCAGCAGTTGCATCGGCGTGTCAGTTGTCCTCGAAGTTATTTTAAAGGCCGAGCTCATGTTCACCGCAAACAACGATTCAATCCGCCAACCTTCTCCGTGTCCGTACTGACTCGTTGGACAGACTTCCTCGTCTCCATGCTGTCTGTATTTAAGATGACTGACTCATTCGCGCCGCCCGCCGCCGCCGCCGCCGCCGCCGCCGCCGCCGCCGCCGCCGCCGCCGCCGCCGCCGCCGCCGCCGCCGCCGCCGCCGCCGCCTCCATCCGTCTTCCTCATTCTCGGGTGGACGTTACGATGACTCATTGCGGCCACCTCAGTTTTGGGCTGCCCCACGCTTACCTAATGGAGGCCGTTAAACTGCCCGCGTGGCCATTCGCAGCCTGACCTTGACTGGGCCTTCGTGTGTGCGTGTGTATACGCGCACGCACGGTGTGGTTTCGATTCGTCTACCAGCCCCCCTCTCTCTGTACCGCCGTGCTGTTGTATCGTGCATAGCCGTCGGGGAAAGCGTGCCAGCCTAGCGTTGCCAACTTCATAATCCCCCCTTCCCCCCCCCCCCCCCCACCAACTTCAGGTGTTGCTGGTATTGTCGTTCTGGAAAGCACTGCCTCGAGTGGGTAAACCTAGACGAGATAAAAAGCACGACGATAGCGGGACAGCGGGAAGACATCACTCAAATCGCCTCTCCAATCATCCAGGGCAGCCTTGGTAACTGTTGCTCAGGCCCGGCAGCCCTCTTAAAATTCAACCAAACAGAGCGAAGCTACACTGGAGCAAAACCGCCAACGCACACGCTGCTCACGTTTAGGGACACCTTTGCATCCACCTCAGTGCCAATGCACCCA